AAAAAAGATCGAAGCAACAATACCTTAAAAGCACGAAATCTTGCCTGGAATATTTTCGATTGTAGACTTTTCTGAAAACAAAATATTAATCCGCGTCACCCATAGTTAATGTAAAATAAACATGGCGTGCAGTCTAGCACCAAGCATTTCCTCTTTTTCATCGTCATTTGGTGTTGATAATAAAATTAATGTCAGGTGCGGTCCCTTCCATGTTTATATTCTGTTAACTATGGGATAAGTCTTGTATTCACAATGAAATCAACATACGATGAAAACAAACAATCCTATTTCGAGCGTTAAAAAGTTATTAAGAATTGGTGGGTTTATTTTTCTTTGTTTAATTCCCATAGGAATACACTATACTTTGGTTTTTATGTTAATTTTTTTATTTTGCGCAAGCGTGAAGTATTATGCAATTTTATTTTTTTCCGTATTTGTAATTCCCAGGGGAATATACTATGCTTTGTTTTCATGGTGATTTCATAGTGTAAATTTGACTTTATAATGAATCCTCTTTGATTAAGTATGATAAGTATCTTGTCACTTGCGGGTTTGAAAGCAGCTGCGACGTGCCATGCAAATGATCATCAAGGCGTTCCGGTTAAATGAGTATGAGAATTGCGGTTAAGTCTGTTTCGATCTGTTTGAACTATATAGATAAACAGTACTGCATGCTCACTAAATTAGCGTCATTGTGATTTTCCTTTGGATTTTCAACTCTGATGAAGTTTTAAAAAGTAATTCTATACATTCTCATGCTTATTTAATCGAGCCTTTGGTTTAGGTAAGTTTAAGGTTTGTATTTACTTCGGACCAGTTAACAAAACTCAAGCCTATACCCTTTCAGTTAAGATTGAACGTTTCGAACCAGAATCCAAAACTCAGTCTAAGTGGGTTATAGGATAGCTAGTGATAACGTAATTTATCTTTTTATTTTGCTTTTTTGTTTATAACGTAATTTATTAGCTAAATGTATGGACTGTGAGAGTGTGCGCCGTGTGTATAAGATGCATGGGGTTAAGCTAAACTAAAGGAATTAAAATTTTGAGAGAACATATAAAGAGAAAATATATCTTCCTCGAACAAAATAACCAATTTCCTAACATCAGCAAAATTAGTCGAGTTTCGTTATTTAAACCAAAACAATAGTAAAGTATATATAGAAGGAAAATCCGGATTTCGAGGTTTCGTATACTTTTCTATGTAAATTTCATGTTAGAGGCAACTAAGAAACTCACCTGTTTGTATACGCGGTCATTCTTAATCGTCAACCTTTAATTTATTTGTTTGCGTTTGGCCTAAAATATTCGAATAATTAAATTAATTATGCAATATACTTTACCAAAATTTTAATTCCTTCAGTTTTAAGGGTGGGCAGTTCGGGTGGTGGCAGGTTGGGCAATTGTGAGTGTCTGTGTGATGGTGAGGAAAGCGGAAGTTACGAATGGAATGCAGGTAGCTTAGGAACGAGGCAGACAGCTTAGGACCGAGGCAGACAGCTTAGGATTGAGGCAGTTGGTAGGAATCAGTGGGGGGCACTTGTCATTTCGGCCATGGGATTCAAAATTTGCATGTCGAGTATTTGTTACTAATGTTTGTTGTTTTACATTCGCTAGGTATGCGCGTGGCTGCTCTCAAGAGAAGATCAACTTAGCAATTTGCATTAGCATTTGCAAGGTTGGTCTTCTCTTCGCCCCGCTACCCCGGCTGGCTCTCCGAGTGCTACCTCTACTTTAAGCAGAAGCACTTTTGCTTCTGCTTGAAGTAGAGGTAGCACTTGGGGAGCCGGCCGGGGTAGAGGGATTTTTTTTATTTTTTTTTTCAATTCCCATGGGAATTGAATTTTGAATTAAAAAGGAGTCTCTTGTATAATTAATGAACAATTTATTGAAAAGAACTTGTAATTTTACAATTTGAATAACAATAAAAAGAGAACAACCACTGCATACTGTATACTTATTTAAATAACAATAGAAGAAAACAGAACATGACACAAAGAGAACAATTAACATTGTGTTTACACAAGTGAAAACACAACATTAAACATGTGAACTTGGTCGTTTCAAGATGAAAGTTTATACTTCAAGATAAATAATTACAAAACAACTCTGATGATAAATTTTACGAGTTTGACGAAGAAATCTAAAGCGTAAAATCGAGTTGTTTCACAATCACAAAAATATATATGGCTCAAAGACAAAGTAAATCGAACTTGCTTTTACTTTTTTTGGATACGGACTAAGTGTTTTTGGTAAAGTGAACAAAAAGTTTCACTTGAGTATGGAAATAATGATTTTATCGCGATGTCTAGATGCTAAGAGAATTCAATTCTTTGTAATACTCAACTGAACATATATAAGAACATTTTTTCAATTGCCAAATCGAGAAATACTTAAATTTGAAATCATCTCTGTCTTTCGGAGCCACATATTTTTGAGCGTCGTTTTTTAACCTGACAACTTTGAATTGATTATATATAATGTTAATACTAATTCAACTGATGAAAATGCAGTTCAATAAAATTTTAAAAGAATGTTATTATTTCTCCAATACTGATTGATTTTTCGAACAAAAATTTGAATTAAATTTGCTTTGCTCAATTAAGAAAATGGTACATTTCTCGTCCTTGATAAATTCAGTAAAATGATACACATTGATCCACCATTTTATAAACAAACATCTCCTAGATTTCACGTGGGGAAAAGTTGTCCTGTTATATAATTATTTGTATATTTTAAAACAACAACTTTTTGATTTTATTATGAAATATTTTTGATGCAAAACATGTAGCAACCATTTACAGAAGCACACAAAATATTGTTGAACCAAACTTTCAAATGTTCATAAAAGATTTTCTGATTTATATCCTTCTATAAACTGGTCAAACCAAAAAGAAATTTTTCAGTTGGAAAACAGCTTATTGTTTTGCATAATAAAAAAAACAGGAAAAAATTTTACGTGATAATGCACATATCAACGGCCTGCCCGGGGGGGTACACTCCGGGGGAAACGAGGTGGAATTTGGTATTTTATCCGTGTATTCTTCCCCAACAAACTTCGCAATAATAGGATGACAGGGGGAGGGGAAGTAGGGGACTTTGACATGACAATTTGAATTTTATAAGTGAAGTGCACCATCCCAGGCTCACAGAGAAAAATATCGATCGCCAACTTATTATTCATGATATTTTGTAGTGATCTTGCTAAAATTTGAATCAATAAATACACAATACACGAGTGCCATTGTGATACCCCAGTTTGTATGATAATTTTTAATTGTTTGTATGCTATTTATATTATGAACTACTTTATTCTAAGCCCAAGGGGGAGGGCAGTTTGACTTACACATTTCCTGGGGGAGGGAGGGGGAATTAATGCATTAGAATCATGTTTTTTCAAAGTCCCGGGGGTGTACCCCCAGGGCAAGCTGTTGACATGTGCATAAGGTATAATTTGCTAACTCAAAAGTAGACGAACAGTTTTGATCAAAGTCTTCAGTCCCAAGGAACAATCAGTTTCCATACAATTCTTAGAATCTCTCTCAACAAACAAAATATCATATTGCATTTTCATCAATTTCTAGTATCAACATTAAAGCAAACCAAACACAAACATCAAAAGACATGAAATTAATTGAAAGGTCACAAAGATTGAGTTTTAGTTCATTTTGGACGACATTGTTGTCAGGTTAAAAACAGACCTTTTTGAAGTATAAACTTACCTTTACATACTCGTTGAAAAGACCATGTTCGAGTGCCATGTAAACCTGTTTTCTTATATTATTATTATGACTATTAATAACACACCATTACAAAGTGGAACTATTTGAAAATAATGTTGAACTGAAGCAAAACAAAAAACATGTAAACACAGAAAGCTAACAAATTAATTTTAATTGCAAAACAATTATTAACCACAACAAGCCAATAAAAATTCTAAAAATAATCTTGTCATTTTAGTAACCAAACCAAAGTTCCGAATTAATTAATTGAATCTGATTCGATAACAAATTTCATACTTAAAAAGGGGCTGCAGGTCAGACTACTTAAATAAAAATAGTATTTTAAAATCTAGAACTTTTTATTCAGATTATAAAATTTGGTACATAAAAAGCATCTCAGTCATTCCCGATCTTATGTGACACATATTTTTAGTTTCAGCAAAATTTGTGTGTGGTTAATTTCATGCTTGAATTTTGGTTCAAATCTGATCAAATTGTGCCTTGATTAATTAACACCTTAGCACAAAGAACTGTTGATCTTATCTTCAGGTTCAATATTCCTATTGGTATATACTTTTGAATTCGGATTGTTTTTCTTCCCAATAATACAAAACATATTAATTTGTACCTTCTGTGTGCAAATCGTTTTAAATGCAAAGAATTAATGCTAATTTTAGAATTTGTATAGTATAGTAGTAATTGATAGTTGGTGTAAATTATGTAATTCAACCCTTGGTTGCAATGTCATTTTTATTAATAAACCTAAAACCTAAACCTAGAACATTGTCCTGTAGTCTGGTTGTGATTTTCCTTGCCATGCATGACAATCAATTTCCTTTTATTTTCTCTATCTCACATTACCCAAAATTAAGTATAGTTTGCTGCTTCAGTTCCACATTCAAATAAGTTCCTCTTTGTAATGAAGTAAAGGCAATATCCTAGACTTTTTTGACCTTAACTGTTTGTTTTAAAGTTGGGAAATTCTTTTTAAAAATCACAAAGTTTGTTCCTAAATTCGAATTTTTTGTTGATAACTGGTCGGCACAAGAATATAAAACAACTGAAGAACACAACCCTCCTATAAGTCAGTACTGTAAAGAACTGCCTTGTTCCTTAACAAATCCATTTTATTTGTATCCAGGAATAATCAAACTCATGTATTAAGAGTGTGCTGGGATAAATAAGACAGGACGGTTAAACAACGAGGCAGTTCTAACAGTGCTAATTTTAGAAGTATTGTATACTTCAATTAATCACTAATTGCTTTTTCTAAGATTCAATATTTCAAGACTCAAATAAAATCCAGAATGAAAGAAACAGTGTGATTTTCAGATAAACTTTCCAAACTTTCAACAAACACTGAAAGTCCACTTAAACAAGAGAAGATTGAGATGGGACATAAGTTGCTGTTTTCACAATGCAGGTCAATAAGTTCAAAACACAAAGTATGATGAAACAAATGTCAATTAATCAATGTTCTTTTAATCCTTTGCTGAAAACATTAACTGAAACATGAAAGATGACTAAAAAAAGTCACATGACTTATTTGTAAGTAACTGTTTTAGTTTCTAATAAGAAAACACCTCAATCTTCTCAATGTTTAACTGCTGTGACAAAGCCAAAGAATGACAAACGTTTCATTTTTTTATATTTGACAAAAACATAATTTGGAAATATGTAGAAACAACTATGTTCTGAGAAATAGCCCCAGACAAACACAAATTTATATGTTCTGTATTTATGCCAAACAAAAAAAAATGTACAGGTATATTGAAACCAAATCGTCATTGTTAATTAAACACAATTTTTCAAAACACAGACAGTTTATCATTTTCTGGCTTGCTCATAAAATGCTTATATGCTTTGAAAATTATGGACTTTCTGTGATTGGTTGCAACACCAAACTTAACCAAGTAATCAGACCACAAAACTGAAATTTCCCAAATTAATACAAGTCAAAATAGTGGTGTAATAATAGAATAAAAAGAGTGCAATTTTTGTGCACTCACCTCATAAAGATTGTGTTATTTTTGTCGAATTTTGTGTCATAAGTAAGATGGTCATGCTATTTTTGCAATATTCTGCTGGGATTTTTGAAACCATTGATCACAAGCAACCACATAATGTTCAAAGCATTTCATGTAAGATAAGAAAAATATTAAAACCTTTTTATATACTTTCCAATGACGTTGTTCACTTTTGTGATCAAAAACACTTCAGCCAACAACTCGAGGCATTCTTGGAAATTGCAACACACATCTAAAAAATTTAAAAACTCACTATTGAGAACATGAAACAAATTAATAATATATTACAAAGATAATTGTCCAAGAAATACAAGGAAAACTTTAAAAATAATTAGAAGAAAAATCATTTACCTCTTATTCAGGATCTTGGAATAGTCGTAATCATGAGATCTTGAGACAGGAACTTGTGACATTCTTGGAGCTTGTACTGTACATCTACAAAAATTTATGAGAATTTTGCTGAGGATGTGAACAGCTTGGCTAGCGAGATGAAAAACTCAATACGAACATGTGCAGAGCACCAGAAGCTGAAACAGCATATCTTTTCCAGCCAACCCTATTCTCTCTGCCCTATGCACCGGAATTCGGTTCCGGCCGGTTAGTTCCAGCCAGAACCCTCATTTTTCAGGGTTTCGGTCGAAACTAATAAAAAAAATGGCTGGAACCCAAACTTTGTCATTTTCAGAGAAATACATGATCAAATTTACTAATTAAATAGTATAAGATGAAATTTGGACTACACATGAAAAATGTACACTATTAGCACTTAAAGATGCGGTACAGTCCGATCTGCAAATGTGCACAAAGGAGCCCTCTTTCATTTACAAACAGTTTATTTAGGTTTTTATTTCATTTTATGTTCTTGCAAAGCTTGATTGTTGTCTCTTGATAATTTATTAAACTCTAGAATCATGAAAATATAAATAGTTGTCGAATAAAATTCAATATTTTGGATACCAAAATGTAAACAAAGCCTTTGTTTACATGCAGACTGTACCGCATCTTTAATTATAAAATTTAACATCATGACAAATCTTTTCTTTCAATGTCAATTTTTGTTTAATAACTATTTTATTCAAAATTAATCTACTACAACTTTTAAGTGGCTTTATTACTGCCTGAAAGATAAAAGAAAAACTCAATTTGTAGACTGATGTTGAAGATATTTAATGTTTGGATAAAAAACAACAAAATTGTTTCGATCTAATTCGATGTTTCCGCATTCGGCAAAAAGCAATTACATTTCTAATTCATTTCCAATAAATACGAATGAAAAATGGGATAACATAGTTTTCATAATGAAAACACCACTTTTAAATTTATTTTATAACTCTGCTCTGAGTTTTATCTTTCAGAACCTTTGCCATTTGTATTTCTAGCACAAAAAGGTCATCTATTCCATTGTTGAGCTCAAAGTAAGTGGTAAAATGTTTAGCCATTGATGTATTCTAAGAAAATGAGTTGGTTTTTTGCCGAAAGATTGTAAATAACTTAACAAATTCGCTCCATTCTGGAAGAAATATTTAGTTTGCTTGTGCGATGAATCGTATATACGTAAACTGAAACTCGTGTGATTTCAAAATACAAACAAACGTTGTGTTTTATTTGAAACAAAAGTGTGAACTATGCTTAAGTTGAAAGCATAAAAAGAGTTCTAAAAGCCAAGACACTTGGATGTGATGTTTCAAGATAATGTAAACTTTTTTTCAAGCGGTATTCTGGAAGTTTTTTGAACCGCTTGGTGCCGTACGCGAGGTTCGATCACGAACATTGGGATATAATATAAAGTCTCCTCAAGAATTTGCAGTGTTTTCTCCACAATCTAGCAGCATTTATGACAATAAAGATGAATTAAATAATGAGCCCTCTACAGGTGAAATGAGAAGGGCCAAAACTCCAAACATGCCACTATAAAAAGTTAAAAACTGAAATTTGAACAGGCATTTTGCGAGAACATCCGACAATACTACCATAAACTCGCACAGCTAGGACGTATTTTGACAAACATTTTTCAAATTAATACCAAGAGTCATAACTAGTAATTACCTAAATATCTTTGCCAATTTTACATGTATAATCCACGCTTAGTTGACCGGTAACCGACACAGTTATAAACAGTATATCAAACATAACTTTTTTTATACAAAATGGATGTACACATCAGTTGGGGTATTCATAAATTGTTCGTGTCAAAATCTAGTAAAATTGCCAAAATTTAACCCAAATTTATCCCTTTTCCTTCGGTGAAATTTTTTAAAACTTTGCACACGTTTCGGCACAACAAGTGCAATAACCTTTTTTCCTAAAATTAAATCGAAGGGTTTCAATATTGATTTTTGACGTTTTTAAAATTTTCCAAGAAACATATTGATTTAATTTAAATTTTAAATTGAAAGGAAAAAATTATTATACAAGTATTATCTTTTATGCAAAGTTTTAAAAAATTTCACCGAAGCGAATTTTTAAAATAACCTGAAAAAGACAAATTTTGAGCTTTATTTCTAAGCATGCTGTTGCCATGATAACAGATTTTTAACACAAATGTAGCAATTTGTAATGTTCAAAAGAACATTGTCAATAGGGCCATTTATACGAAACAAAACAAGTCGCGAAAATTCTTATGTAAGACGCAACTTAAATAAGAACAGGATTTTTAGCTGTTCTTATTTAAGTCGTGTCTTAAATAAGACATTTTGGATAAAAAGTTTACTGCATATGCCCGAAACTTGAAACAACGTAAAATTATTAGCCTTGCATATTAAAACAAAAACAACCAAAACAACATTATAGCTATAGCAAGTAAATGAGACTAATGCTGCAAAGAACCATTTGTTCGATAACTCCACTTATGTAAGTCGCAACTTATTTTGTCCCGTATAAATGGCCCTAATGTGTCCAATAAATTTCGTCTTCATGTCATGTAAAGTAACAGGAGTCTCCTGAATACAAAACTGTAGTCAATTAAAAAACCCTAGAGAGCCACCTTAAACAGGCTTAAAATTCATAAAATATAAAAATATTTGCCTCCTTATAAAGATCCTAGCAAGAACAACTAACTTTCCTCGACTATTTCAATAATTTTATAGCTTCCTTAGTCTTTTTATTGAATTGGTCAGTGCTATTAAAATCAGATCACGGTTTTTTAATATTTCGACAATCGACCAAACCGATGCACGACTGCACGTGCAAACTTTATGCCGAACATTTCGCACTTAATTCGAGCCCGATGTCCTAAAAATTCCATCTACATTAGCAATCTAAGTATTCTACCACAAATACTGATATAAAATAAAGCATATTACCTTCAAATAAAGGTATGATTGATCAATATAAACCAGCAGAATTTTTACGCCATATTTGCCACGCGGAGATTTATAAAAAAAGCCTGAAATTAGGAACATTCCGGAAATACGTCGGAAATCCGGATCACAACGATGCAAGTCGACAAAATCCGAGACCATACGCAAACTATGCGCAAATCAAATCTAATGCAATTATGCAAGGGGGGACCACAAGAACCATGGGGTGAGCAAAAGGGGGACCTTTCTGGAGTTGCTTTTGCAAACGAGCACCATGCGAATTTTGCCATTTGTCGTGCTGGGAACGAGGTTGGTGCTGCTTTTGCAAAATCAAAAGAACAAACGCCTCCAGCCCTTTTCAACCACAACCAAATAAGAAAGACCCTGGGAACGAGAATGCTCTGGGAATAGCGGAAAATAGGAAAATAGCGGTAGCCGCAGTCTCGTTCCCCGAGCTTGCGATCCTCGGAAAGGAACGTTAGGCTCTGGGATAATCTGTTGCCGGAAGCCAGTCTACAACATCGGTCTTTGTAAGTTCAATATAAAAACCATGAATAGTTTAGGGACCAGTTGTTTTGGAAATGGCGTCAAGATGCACTAAATCCGCCTTGGTTGTGGCGACTTTTTTAGAGATAGGAATCATAGGAGCAAGATCCACACAGACGCAGCCCGCGAAGTCAAGTGACATCATAAAGATTATAGGATTTTTACTATCGATTCAGATTATAGTAAACATGCCGGAACAACAGAATAAAGATCCATACAGAAGGGCCACTTATGTCGGAAGCTTTGAAGTTTCTGTCCTCGCGCATGTCGCATTACGCTTGTATTGGCCGCCATTTTCCTGGCCAGTCAATAACATTTTCTGGCCAATGTTTACGCCGTACTATCTGGCTGCTTCGCCTTTTGGCCAGTGAACTGCATAATTTTGCATAAAAAGGAGGCCACGTTGCACCGTTGAGTGGCCCATTGGTTACCGATCTTTATTCTGTGCCGGAACCCACAGGGTATCCCAGGAAAGACTAAGGAGATTGGACTTTGCCTCATTTCTATGCACTACAACTTCGTACACAGAGAGGCACTTAACGGCTCTGGGTACGAGATTGCAGGCGCTATAAAACGATTTCATATAGGAGTTACAAAAGGTGGTTTACATGAAGTAGTGCAAAGCGATGGACGGGTAGTGCAGGGGATTTATGGGGACATCCCATTCCACCTTGCGCGCCTGACGCACTACTTCATGTAAACCGTTTTGATAGCGATTTGCGATGTGAAATCTTTTTATAGCGCCTGAGGACAAGGGAGGATTGGACCGACTTTCAGGTACACGGCTAAAAACGCACAGGTTGTTCCAAGTTGATATCGACAGGCGTGAACAGTGTTGTGCGGCCAACTATGAACAAGTTGCCAACCATGTTGCTCCAAGTTATTACAGTTGAACAATGCTGTAACAAGATGTTGACAATACTGTTCATAGTGGGCCGCACAACCTTGTTCACGCCTGTTGATATCAACCTGGAACAAGTTGTTGATTTTCTCAATTTCATCCGTGTACCTTATTAAAGAATAACTCTACCAGCACACTGGATCACCACATTCGATATATCCTTTCCAGTTAGTTGAGACAAACAACGACAACTTATTGCATGTAGAATGCTATCTAAACGAAACTAAACTAAGACATTTGACGTATCTTTTCCAGGTAGTTTCAGCCACCTCTCTCCCTAATACAAACGCATCTTCTCTGAAGGCTAATTTTCACTCTGGAAATTATCCGTGGATTGGAACTGACATGAAAATTTCTCTTTGTCTCGTGAGCTCTGGGCTTGAACCAATGACTTTAACACAAAGAAAAATTTTCTTGTCCATTCCAATGCACGTACAATTTTCCTGAGTGGAAATTAGCCTTAATACAGACACACCTCTCTAAATACAGACAATCTCTCTAATACAAAAACGCATCTCTCTAATCATAGTTAATAGAGGAGATGGTTTGGAAACTGTTAGCATTACAATACAATCACAGTAAACCTCATTATCTATGTTGTTCAGGTTTATGAAAAATGTGTCTTTCATCGTCACGTGCGTATTGTATTTTTCTCAAGTCAACCAATAGGAATGTTCAAAATGTCCTATTGTTAAAGTCATGGATGGGCAATTGGACAAAACGTTGCTATTGGCTGGTTGAGCAAAAATACAATACGCACGTGACGATGAAAGACCACATTTTTGCATAAACCTGAACAAAAACATAGATAGTGAGGTTTATTGTAATGCTAATAAGTTTCCAAACCATCTCCTCTATTAAACTATGCTCTAATACAGACGTTATCTCTCCTCACGTTTCAGGTCCGTTCAGACACAAACCAAGATAGCTAGCTTAGTATTAAATACCCTTCAACACCGCAGCTTATTGGTTTGGGTCCTTAATTGGTATACGAAATTCTGTTAAAAGTTGAAAAAAAAAACCCAGGCACACACAACAACATGGCAAAAAATTATAATTTTAAAGAAATATTTACAATTTCCCAACATAATAATTATATATTTATTGGCATTTCTTTACATTTCTTAATTACTTTCATTTTTTTCCATGATATATTTCTTTTCATGCATTTCTTTACATTTCTTATATATTATTTAATTTCTTTTCGTTCTTTACATTTCATTTCTTATATTACTGTCATTTTTTTCATAATTATATATTATTTAATTTGTTTTCATTTCTTTACATTTCTTTACATTTCTTAAATGACTTTCCTTTTTTTCATAATTATATATTACATTTCCTGACATTTCTTATATTACTTTCATTTTTTTTTAGAGTATATATTACCTACATTTCTTTTCATTTTTTTATTACTTTCACTATTTCTCGGTCTTAGGCCTGTTTCAACGTCGCATTTTGCACGTTTCGAATTTAAATCGCTTTGGCGTGGTTTCGAAAACTTCATGTAATGTGTTTCGGAGAAAGATAAATCTTTGGATATATTTCTCATTTTCAACAACTTAGGCTTAAACATTCTTAAGACGTTCTTAATCATAGGCACTTTTGCAGTTTAACGATCTTCGGTGTATTCTTAGTAAATTCTTTAAATTTTGCTTATTCTAACCTTAGATAAAATATGCTTTAATATCTCAAGCTAAACGTTCTTCCAGGCAACGCCCAAGCCCAATTGAATTCAAATACATACAAAATTCTACGTTTGAAACGGAATACACTGGAATCAAATGCGACTTGCATATATTCGACACAAGCAAAGTGGGACGTTGAAACCAGGCTTTACTTTTGTAAATTTTACTTTAAATGATCTACATTAATTACGAGCTACATTTCCTCTTCTATTCGCACTAAGTTAAAATTCGTTTCTTATATTTATTCAATTATTGGATTTTAATGGGAAGACAACTGCACCCAAAGTCACCACATGCTTAAACCACAAATCAAGACTTCATATATAGTACAAGATCCTTACGCGTTTAGCCTCAATTTTGTCAATCGATAACGTTCAGTAATTTAGACTAAAAAAGTTTTTTTCATTTATAACAATATTCTTTCAATTTTTTTAGTTTTTTAAATTGACTGAATGTTACCAGCATGCATAGTCGAAACTCCGTCAACCAGCAAAATTTGAACCAGTTTAAAGTTGATGCAAGACATAAGAAACGATGAAACTTTGGTAGTCAAATGTGACCGACAACTCTCAATAACTCTCTTAATTAAACAGCATAACCGGAAGAAATGGTTGGCCTTAAATTTGATTATACTTCGATGTTTGTGCTTCTACACGTCTGTTTATTTTGAACTTAAAAATAAAGCTTTTGCAAGAAGGTTTTCATATTACAATTTCTTTCGGGTCCGGGGATTAAATCAACCAGCTTGCAAATAATCCTGATACAGTGAAGAACAACTTGAAATTCTGCGTCATTACGGCATGAATGAGGAAGTTCGTATTTGAAGGAAAGTTGAAGGAAACTTCGGAATATTGAAAGAAATTGCCTTATTTCAAAAAAATCCTAAGAATACGGCAATTTCCAAGGAAATGCGCTTCAAAATATGCTGAAAATCCTGTGTGCGAGATGCAAAATCTGAAAGGGGAGGACCCTAGGTAAATTCTTTGTCTGCGCTTTAGGAACAGGAGTAACTTGAACAGACATGTTAAAAACCTGCACAGTGCCAGTGGAAACAAGCCTTATGAATGTGAAACATGCATGCGAAAATATTGGACGAAGAGCAGTTTACAGACACATACAAGAACAATCCTTCCTTTGACACACCCTGTATATAATTATTACCTTGGCAGGGAACTTTTATCCAAGGTGGCGTTGGCCCTTTTTTCTCAAGGTCGTTCTAATGAGTACAATTTATCAAATTTTATGCCTTAATTGAGACAATGTATACTTTTATGTTTTAAACAAAGAAAACAACCAATTGTGGCTAGAATTTTACAAGACGCGATGAAGAAGGCAAAGAAGATGATTTTATTAATCATTATTGTTAGGTTTTGAGATGATAATGATTATTATTAGGTTTTATGTGTATCTTCCTCATCCAAGGGTACATAACCACCACATGAGATGCGTGTAGAAAAGCTAAATTTGGTTCTAGCAACGCACAACGATGACAGTCTGCTTGTACCGGTTGATACAACAACGGATGCGCAGACTGTTCCAGCTAGAATTTTTCAAGACGCGATGAAGAAGGCAACAGAAAAAACTATAGCAGGATAATTTTATGATATATACTCCTTAGGGTAGTTTGAGCACTCTCATGGCCCCATGATACTATGCGCATGTCTGGATGCGTTGGCGACCCGTGGTGTTGCACCACAAGTGCTTGGTGAGAGTTTCTGTTTGATGTGTATTTTATAACTTTTTTATACGCTGCCTGGAACTGGGAACGCATATGTTCGGGCAGCAGGATTTTTAGACAAGGTTGCTCTAATTTTGGCCTCAACAAGATAGATAAGCAGAGCCAGTCGATTCGGGACAAACAGGCTCTGGACGAGAGCAATCGAAGCAAATGGTCGTTGTCGCTTAAGACTCTATGGCTGGGAGTTGTCAAGTGCTGATCAGAGCGTTTCAGATAAATCATTCTCTGAAATTGACCCTCAAGGGTTTAATGTTACTCCGTTATTGATGGTCTTAAACATTTTTCCGCAGGTCATCTCATTGGCGAATGTCGATTCAAACGAGATGCTGGACGCTGCCTGGACATGGGAACGCCTATGTTCAGGCAGCAGAATTGCTCTATTTTTGTTTAGTGGGCATGGTGTGGGAGAAGGCTGGAATAGCCTGCTTCTACCGGTTGATGCAACCAGTGCGGCACAGGTTGTTCCAGCCAAAATGTTCCAACGGGCCATGCTGGCGGCTTCAAAGAAAATCATGATCTTCAATTGCTGCCGAGAAAAGTAAGCAAAAAATCCGCAGGTGATGTCATTATCCAATCTCGACTCAAATGAGATGCTGGACGCTGCCTGGACATGGGAACCGCCTACAGTATGTCCAGGCAGCAGGATTGCCCTGTTTATATACAGTGGGCATGGTGTGGGAGGCTAGAACAGCCTGCTTCTACCGGTTGATGCAACCAGTGCGGCAGATACACTCATTTTTTTGTAGTATAGACTCTATGAGTTTATAACAGGTGGTTTACTAGTAACTAGTAGCATTTTTATTTGCCTCCATCGTTCTTTCCGGCACCACAACTCACATTGGCTCACATATTTCAGATACACCATCCAGGCTCTCTTTCGATGTCCATAAAGTTGACATTTCTATGGATTTTATAATCAATTTATTCATAAATTTTTTAAAGGCTAGTTTGTATATAATAGACGTATATATTGAAATAAGCAATATTCCACTGATGAAGCCTTCAGACCGGCGAAACGTCGGTAAAATGAAACCTTTTAACATCTTTTTATTTTAATTTTATGCATGAAGAAATTTTTTAACCTTTTCAAATATCCACCGGGCATGTTACCTACAACCCCTCCTTAGGGTTGTTTGAGCAATCTGGCCCCATGATACTCTGCTCATGTCTGGATGAGTTGGTGGCCCGTGTTGGTGAGAGTTTCTGTTTGATGTATATTTTATAACTTTTTTATGCACCCTGTATAGATGTGAAAGAAAATAGCCCACAAACAATATGCCGGTACTCCACAATGACTGAGCCAGTGTTTTTGTAAACTGGTGATGAGGATGATTTTTTACATGTCGGTCTGTAACAAACCTTACAGACCGACATGTAAAAAATCATCCTCATCACCAGTTTACCTTAAGGTCCTGTTCACACGATCCCGGGATAAACAACCGGTGGATGCAACATCGGCTGCGCAGGCTGTTAGAGCCCCATGATACTCTGCTCATGTCTGGATGAGTTGGTGGCCCGTGTTGGTGAGAGTTTCTGTTTGATGTATATTTTATAACTTTTTTATGCACCCTGTATAGATGTGAAAGAAAATAGCCCACAAACAATATGCCGGTACTCCACAATGACTGAGCCAGTGTTTTTGTAAAACTGTAAAACGACTGGTATCTCACTCGTTTGAATAATGAAAAAAGAGGACTGGAACAGCCTGCTCGCACCAGTAGATGCAACAAGGCGACATGCTGGAATGAAAGTAAACTTCGTTTACATTTAGATAACAAATACTTATACTTATATACCTACACTTAAAATGTCCATTTCTACGCTGATTCGTTACAACGGCCGCAAAGCAAAGGAGGAGAATGATCTTAGCCGATTTAAGGTCTACAGACACAGGTGAACCATAGGTTCCAGAGACACCATCATCAAGTATGGCTGGACAAAGAAAAACGTGCCAGCCTTCATAAGAATGAAGACAATAATAAAATTTCCAGAATCTCTGTGTCCCGTAACAACGTTGCAGGACACAAAAAACGGAAAAAAGAGATTTGTCATCACTGAGGACAAGATTTGTCCAACAACTCGAGGCCATGGGAGAAAAAAGGTACTTGGTAGAAAAGTATATTTTACGGTCTGCAACGTAGGCTACGGATCAGTCACTCAGAGATGTCGAGATGTCACTTAAAATGTCCATTTTATGTGTTTAGGTTCCAGAGAGACTATCTTAAGCTGTCCTGCCTTCGTAAAGGTAAAAACTGTTTTGAAATTCCCGGAATCGCCATGTCCAGTGACCACGCTAAGGGAAACAAAAAAACAGGAAGAAAGAGATTGTCTCCTCATTAAGCGCTAAATCTACGGAAGAACTCAAAGCCATGGGAGAGAAAAGGTACTTGGTATAAAAGTATATTTTACATTCTGCAAAGTAGGCTACGGATCAGTCACACCAAGATGTCGTTCCAAAAATCTTGTGATCTCTGCAATAAGTAAAAATGAGCCATACAGTCTTAACAACTTTATGGGTAAATATCAAGATTTTGTTGGTATCTCACTCGTTTGAACAATGAAAAAAGAGGATTGGAACAGCCTGCTCGCACCAGTAGATGCAACAAGCTGCTCGTTTTGCTCGCAGGTTGCATATTTAATTTTATTTTTTACTTTACAGTTATTTTAATTTTATTTAATTTCATACTTTTATGCAGGGATTTAGCAAGGAAGAGGATGGTGAAAGCAGCCCCTAATTGGGCTTACATGTTGCTTGAATTGCTAGTTCTTCGACACCTATATACAGGGTGTATAAGTGTTAAGTATAAAGTATCAAGTATAAGTATTATATATAAGGAATAAAGTATATTGCTCAATCTTTTGTAGAATGACAAAAATACACACATTTGTACATGAGAAAGTTGGGTTGCCTTCCTTTGACACACCCTGTATATAATTATTCCCTTGGCAGGGAACTTTTATCTAAGATGGTGTTGGTCCTTTTTTCTCGAGGTCATTCTAATGAGTACAATTTATCAAATTTTATGCCTTAATTGAAACAATGTATACTTTTATGTTTTTAATTAAACAAAGAAAACAACCAGTTGGGCAAAGAAAACGACCAATCCTTGCCCAGTCTTCATAAGGATGAAAAGTATCTTAAAATTCACCAAATCGCCTTGCCCTGTGACAACGTTGCAGGCAACAGATCACTGATCTTGGCCAATCTGAGGACGAGATCTGTTCAAGAACTCAAAGCTGTGGGCAAATGAAGGTACTTGGTATAAAAGTATATTTTACGGTCTGCCAACATACGCTACGGATCAGTCAGTCAGCCCAACCACAGCCCAAAGATACGGATCAGTCAGTCAGCACAACCACCACATGAGATGCATGTAGAAGAGCTAAATTTGGTTCTAGCAATACACAACCTATGACAGTTGTACCGGTTGATACAACAACAGATGCGCAGACTGTTCCAGCTAGAATTTTTCAAGACGTGATGAAGAAGGCAGGCAAGAAAATAATGATGTTTAATTCTTTCCGAGAGAGGTAAGGAAAAAATTTGTGAATTTTTTATTCAAGTCTTTACTGTATAGATTATACGATAAAGGATTTGCTTGTTACAATACTATACAACAATACAACAACTATCGATACTATACAACTGTAGATTTGTTGTATTTGCGATAGTCTTTTTTGTTGAGGCAGTTTTAAAGTAGAAAAAATTGTAGAGGGAGGTTTTTATATAGGCTTTAATACATTATTCTCAACATGATCTCTTCTCAAAAGTAAGGCCATGTTGCAATAATAAAACATTTTCAACAAAAAAGGCTGTAACACAAGATAAAAGAACAGGATGAAGAGGCTCATCAAGATGAGCGCAGTCAATTGTTACACCTCCGCCAGAGAGGCTCAAATGGAGTGGTTTAAGGCTTATATGTTGCCAAATATTAAATGGAGGTACACCGACCACATTCAACAACTAAAATCTAGTATCCATGCACTATATACTAAAATCTTGTCATTCATAAAGGACAATATAATACACTGTGACTATATTCCCAAAAGGGGAGCCTGGACGGAAATTTGTTGTATCAACTGGTATCAATCCAACTTCCATGCATGGATGAAGATTTTACGAAGAAGGATGAGCTTTTATTTGTAAAGAAACTTAGAGTGTACCGACAACAATGTGAAGAGCAGATTTCTGTTCAATTCCAGGGACCTGACATTATTTAAATTTGCAGCTGGTGGTGAAGAGAGGACACCAACTTTGAACGAACAGTAAAGATCACAAAAAATCATCTAGAGAGTCAAATTATCATCAATATAATAGCCAACAGAAATCACAAAAAAGTATGATAAAAGGAAATAGCTAAGCTTTAAAGCCTGTCCAACTGAAAAGAATACTGCTTAATGAGTGTGGCTTAGTTCAACCAAAATTCACAACATTATGTTGAAAATGAAATATATAGACCAGACTACTTGTACCAAAATTATGCGCATTTAAAAAAAACAAACTGGCATTCAGACTGGTTGTTAATGAAGGTGACAGCTGTCTGCTATTCATCAGTCATGCTCCTCAGTTTTAAAAGCTTGGTAAAACAATTAAGAATTGGAGTTGATTAGAGTTGAAAGTCTCAATTGCATTTCACTATCAGGCCACGTCGTACCTCTTCAATTTTCGGCTGGTTCAAATTTTGATGATCGAGATTCAAGTATTTTTGCTATTCTTGGTAATCAATATTTCTGTTAATTGGCAATATTCCAGGCGCAGAAATTTTCATTCAGGCAAATCGAAGTTCGCAATGTTAGAAATAAAGCAGATAAAATCCGACATAGGTAAAAATCACAGCAATTAACTTGTAAATTCCGAATCGTAGTAGCTTTGGAATGCAGTTACCAGGGATGCAGACAGTGTCAGAACGTATTATATCTGGTCAATTACTTCCATAAAAACTATCACCTTTGCTTTATTTAAAGTGAAAATGAAAGTCGATGGAAGTTAACCAAATATTACTGAATCAGAAAGAACTGCTCTCATTTATCAATTATTTGATCATACACATATTTCAATGTTCTGACAAACAATTGAATATTCTTAACAATAATCGAAAAAACCAAAGTACAGGCTATAGCAGGATAAATTATGGATACATTTTTAGATTTAAAATGTCAAAGCATATTATGTTGTCAAAGTATGAAATAATGGTCAGGAATACATAGCTTTTTTTGTTTTCTGATAAATGGAATATGTTAAAATACAAGATGTTGACAATGGAATTCTCAACTATATAAATTATAAGAAGTATTTTTTCCAGGTGAACTTTTGAATAATTTTATTTGCAAATATTTTTTAAAATTACCCTTGGAAATGTGCAATTTTTCAGCTCCAAAATTCTGCCTCAATTATGTTGCAATTATTTCATATGCTTCACAAATTAAATTGAACCAATGAGAACAGCTCTAACTAAATTTAAATTATACTGAGCCCGACTTGTTAATACTTAGAGAAAGAATAACTTTAAACATGGTACCGTTTTTCAGCTTCACTTTCATGATCATCGCTGTGCTGCCATTTGTTGTACGACACATTTCCTGCATACATCATGTTGATGGCGTTGACCAATGTAAATGTCATTTCTGTGCTGGTTGACCAAATTAATTGTCATTGTAGTGGGCCAAGACATTGTTGCCCTTTGTCAAAGATAAAACTAATGTATTCCAATGTTTTTTGCACCCTGTAAAAGATTAGCAAAAACAATTGAAGATGGCAATCGGTTAAGGGGCAAATTTGCTGACATAATCAAAATAATGAAATATTGTATCAGCACTTTTTAATTGTTGTTGTAAATTTGTCAACTGCATGCTATTAATTTCTTGTTTTTAACACAGGGCCGTAGCGAAGAGGCTAAAGCAGGGGGTGCATTATCACATTTGGAGACAACATTTCAGTAGTTATAGCTAATTAATATTTTTCCAAAATTGTTGGCTCAATGCTATGTTCCTGTCAAACCCGTATTACCCTTCCTGCCAAACACTCTTCTATTTTGCTTCAAACTACATTCAAATGCTAAGAAAACTAGTCAAAAATCTTTTCTTTCAATCCAAAGATTGTTTTCTAAACTGAAATATACTTTGATAGCCCATATTCCGGTTCCCGACCGACCCTATTTTTTTCTGCCGACCCTATTATTTTTTCAACGCGATTGACCGTGCGATCCTATTTTCTCCAGGTGGTTGCGGGCTGCTCAAACAGCGTGCCAAAATGGCGTCTGTTGTCACACTCATTATTGAACCAAATTGCCTAAATTTGTTCATAGGAAATACGCATCTCTAGTTAATATTGATGTCGAGACTCTATTGCAAATCGCCAAGCAAAAAACTGCCAAAACCATGAAAAAAATTTTCAAAAAAAAAAAATTTATTTCCGACCTACCGACCCTAATTTTTTCACGATATGAAACCGGAACCACAGGTATTTTTTTTTACGCCTTGGCTGGCAGAGAAGCAGCTTGTCTCCAGATCTAAGAGCCCTTCTTGGAACGTAAGGTACCAGCAAATCACTGAGATAAGATGGTGCTAAACCATTAATTATCATGTACGTAATTAATAATACTTTGAAATTAATGCGCAACTGAAGAATGATTTTGAAATTAATGCGCAACAAGAAATAGAGGATTCCTCTATCAACCAGAGGTCTTCTTTGCTTTGTGGCCATTGTAGCAAATCAGCGTAGAAATGGAAATTTT